TACATGCCTTCAAAATGTCTATCTATGTCTTATATCTGTGCATAGAAACTATTGGAGATTTAACGTTGTCTTTCTGCAAACCTCCAGTGGAGGGCAGTGTGTGTCCATTTCTTTATTTTTGTGTCCACACGTGTTGCTTGACTTGAGTAAATTAGCAGATCAGCAGAAAAAAATCTCTTTAACCATCTTATGTGTGTATTTAGTTCACGTCCTTTCCCCCATTGTTCTTATTTTATCCAATTTGAACTCCATGATGCATAATCAGATCATTTTTTAAAATATATTTATCTTAATTAAGCCCCTAAATTTTGGCTAGCAGCTTAGCTACCTTTATTTTCCATGTATTCTCTGAATAACATAATGAAAATAATGGCTAAAGACCTTGCTTTTAAGTCAAGTGTGACCAGAACACAATGCAATGGTTAGGCTTTATTGGTCTTCACACAGCGAAAAATGTGGAAAGTACATATATGTAGTAATATATAAACTAAACTATGACTTATCCCAGGCTGTAGTTCATTGCTAATACTAACACAAACGTATAAATGAATGCTAACGCTTTTCTCCCTGCAGTCCATTAACATACTTTTTTTTATGTTTTGGCTTTTGCAGACAGTTTCTTGATTCGGACATGCCTAGGTACATTATTTTACCTCCGCAGTTTTCTCTGACATGACCATAATCTTCCAATTTTTCTGACTTCTTCTTTCACACCCCCCGCCATTTCCAAATGTCCATCTCTTTCCTCTACGTCATGACTGCTAGCTTTTATATGTGTCTCCTCCGCTTTCTCCTCTCACGGGAAATGAGGGACGCTTCCCCGCATGTCATCATGGTTCTGTTGCTGCGCTGGGTTTGTGTTTGAGCTGTTCTCAGGCTGTGTGGGTTATGATGGACTGGGTCTGCATGGCTCTCCGTGCCTGACGTGAGGGGTTGTGTACTAATGGCCAAAACTACGCATTAAGTATATACATAGGCTTTGTTCTCTCCTATACTACATTATTATTTACAAAAAAAACTTCAGGTTCTTTTCAACAATATACATGATTACATTAATGTTTCTTTACAAATCGGTTGTTTCTACACATGTGAGGGTTAATCAGTAGAATAAAGCGTCAGACAAAACTTTTCAAATAAATTATAGATAATGCCTTTTGGATGTTGAGGCCATTCCGAATCAGTCGTTACAAAAAACTCAGATCTTTGAATATCAGATTTGTTGTAGCAAATTCAAGCATCCTGAATTTGATACATTTAAAAAAAATATGCCCCCTCTACTGTTTACTCTATGTTTTTTATTTGTTGTTGTCAACCATCAAAATGAAGCAATATCTGGAATCCATGTCTGTAATTTTCTCAGTTAGCTCTCGCGCCTCAGGGGGGGCAGGGACTGCTTCCCATAACAGTCTCAAAGCAGTACCAGGAACAACTGCTGAAACTTAAGTGCTGAAATATGGACCAAATTATTTACATTACCCACTCTGGCATCATATCACATGCAGCAATTAAAATGTAATCGCATGAACTATTACCTCACCGGGAGTACTTTGCACAATATTGTTGCAGTGTTATGAATATTTGCAAATCCTTTACCTCGGCGAGGAGCTGCCAGAACACAGGATTCCTCACATGTCAGGCCAGGAGCATGACTTCAGTCCTGGACCTTGTAAATCAAGGAGGTAGTTAAATGTAGAAAAGCACATGTTGTAGTAGAGTGATGAGGAAATTATTTTTTTAGTGTACGCAAACAGGTTTTAACCACTGAGAAAACAATGTCCTAATGTTTCTCTATTTATGCAATTTAGCACATTTGTATAAAAAAAAAAAAAATCAAATTCTATTTAACTACTGCACATAAAAGCAGAAGTCGCCATGTCAACAACTCCCCAGGTCGCCTGAGTCCACAGCCTTTTGGACCCGGCATCTGAACTTCATGTGTTCAGTCTGTTTTTCATTAGCTACACTAACAATATTTAGATGTACCTTTTTAGTTTTAAAGGCCTACTGGGCCACAAGCCAGGAAAGGAACGGCTTTTAGAGTATGTGATTACGGTGCTGCGTTTCCCTTTCTTTATGGGAACTATGGGAAAAAATACTGCACATTGGAGAATATATGAGATAGACCAGAGGTATAGGCACGCAGCGGGAATTGTTTTGCTTAACAAAGGGTCATACTGTTATATGACCATTTCCATGGGAAGTGCAGGATGAGCGGTTACGTAGGGTCAACCTGCACCTGCACCCGTAGCGTGGCCTGAACGCGATAACAGGTTGAACAAAGACAAACACCGTCCCAGCTAGACGAGCACAAAACCACAACATACTTCCTGACTCTCACTTTCTATTCTGTTGCTGATTTCTTCTTTCTCACAGCATTTCCTTGGGAGTTGACCATAGGTATTTCACTGCCCTGTCTCTTATTTTCTCTGGCTGTCCTCTCGTCAACCCACCCAACTTTTCACTTTTTTTTTTCTTTTTTTTGTTTTTTTTCTAACTCATACTGTACTCTCTTCTCAAGTCCTTTTACTTTTCCATGGTCTGTTGTATTATCATAATATATACTCTGTTAGATTCTTGCATGCAAAAAAAAAAATGGTGTACTGAATTTTTAGGAGTACTGTACAGCGTAAATATATTTTTTTCTCACTGTATCATATCAATTGTTATTTTATTGTGTTATATATTTATTTATTTTTTTTTAATTTATTTGCATTTTAGCACTAAAATGTAACAAATTGACCATATATTGCTAATAATCTCTTCTGCTTATAATTTCTTGGTTTCATTTCATAAAAAAAAAAAAAAAATCTCAGGACCTTCTATCGCTTCGAAGCCGCTTGGGACAGTTCCATGCACAACTCCTTGCTGTTGAACCGCGTTACTCCCAACGGCGAGAAGATCTACATGACCCTGTCAGCATATCTGGAGGTAAACCGGACCGCTTGAAAAGGCAGAAAATGGATGAATTATTCAAGGACGACTGAGTTATTTCACTTCCATCATCACTTGCAGATGGAGAGCTGCACTCAGCCCGCAGTCATTACCAAAGACGTATGCATGGTGTTCTACTCTCGAGACACGAAGCTCTCGGCGTCCCGCTCCATCCGCAACCTTTTTGGCACTGGTAGCTTAAGAGCAGCAGACGGGTGGGTTTTAAATGGAAAAAAAAAAATCATGGCACATGTTTACATTGATAACTCTAACTGTTGTTCTGTGTGCCTGCCTGTTTTTTTTAGAAACCGAGTAACTGGAGTTTATGAGGTCAGTCTCTGTAACCTGGCAGATATAGGAAGTCCAGGTGAGTGTCAAAACTCAGCGGTAAATTCTGTCTGCAACAGCGTTTCTTTAGCCCTAAACTGTTCCACCTCAGGTATGCAGAGAAGACGCAGGCGGGTGCTGGACACCTCGGTTGCCTACGTCCGTGGGGAAGAGAACCTTGCTGGGTGGAGACCTCGCAGTGACAGCCTCATTTTGGACCACCAGTGGGAGCTGGAGAAACTGAGCCTCCTTCAGGATGTGAGAAGTTTCTAACATACAAATGACTTACTGCAAAATAGTTTAGTGTGAACTGTGCCTTTAAGTGACTGTTGCCGTAGCACATGAATGAATAATGCTGTTGTCTTTTAACTGCCCTTCGCTCAGGTGGAGAAAACCAAACATTACCTCCTGCTGAGAGAGAAACTGGAGTCCACTCTGCTCACGGGCCAAGAGGCCAGTATCGCCGAGGAGCTGAGTGAGTCTCCTCAGCCCGCCGAGGTTGACCCAGAGGTCAGCTTCAGTACAGAATTTACCACTGAAAGGCAGAGGGAGCTCGCTGCCAAGGTGAGCCATCTTCTTTGTGTTAAAAAAAAAAAAAAAAAAGTGAAATTTTTAATCAATATTTATTTTATAATTTTTTTTGGGAGCGGAGGCGTTGTCAGTGGGCGAGGGTCGCCAGGGGTCACCAACTATATTTGTCAGAGGTCCAGAATTTTTCTGAACAGAGACATTTGAGGGGCAAACAATATTAAAAAAACAAAAAAAATTTGTCCAACATTATTATTTGAAGTTGAGTTTGGAATCTAGATGCGGCCTAGATTGGATGGAATGATGGGCTGCATTCGGCCCACGGGCCGCCACTTGATAATCACTGCTGTGTAACGACAAAATGAAAAACAAAACATTAACAATTGATAACGGCACACATCCACAATAATCCACAAATTATTCGAATGAAGAAGGTGTGTTAGTAATCATTAGAATTACTAATAATTTATAAAAAAAAAAGATCATTTTCAATCATTTTCTGCTCTGTGATACTCTATCGGAGTTCAATATTTTGCTTCTAACTCTAACTTCTAACTTTTGACACAGTGTTTACGGCTGCTCACCCACTCCTTCAACAGAGAGCACGGCCACGTGTGTGTCAGTGCCAGTGAGAGCAAGGTAGTTTGAGACAAATATCTCTTTAAATGAATGAAAGTGTGTGTTGTCCGCCCGTTGGACGCTCTATTCATCGTGGTTTTGTTTTTTTTCTTCTATTTGTTGCAGATCTCAGAGATGTCCGTGACGACCCTGAAAGAATCCGCTTCCGTTTCCGCCCTCAACACCATCACGCCCTCCTCTACGTGCCCTTCGCTGGTGGAGGGCTGCTACAGCGCTGAACTCAGGTCAGTGCAGTTCATGCGTACCCTGATTTTATATGAATAAATATCATGTGGAACAAATAGGGCTGTGGGCCGAATGTCACACACTGTATATGGATATATCTACAATAAACCCACCGTCCAGTCACTTATTTTTGCTCTGATACATTTGCATACACTGAGATTAAAAAATGTCTCAACTCGCAGCATGTATTTGTGGAGGATTTAACTTCAGGTCAGACGCCCAGCTCGCCTCAGAGCAGCCTGCCTGAGTGCAGGGTACTGAGTCAGTCTACAACTGACAAGCTGACTGACACAACTGTCGACTGAAGGAACTGTAGACTGATTTACTTTGTTAAGGACTGGTTTCCAGAAACCAGAAAAAGCAAAGATGCACAGGAAAGTTTAAAATCACCAAACTCTACGAAGAAACATTGTGAGTTTTACCTAGGCATATCATTTTCTAATAAATTAATTCCACCATTTGGATATCCAGCCTGTAGAGCAGGGGTCACCGACCTTTTAGAAACTGAGAGCTACTTCGAGGGCGCTTAGTAATACTAAGAGCTTGTTTGAAACAGACTTCCAGAACAATGTAATAATTATCAGTTCTGGGAGATACAATAGTGGACACTCTTCTGGCACCCATTTGAACATCATTGCCAGTGGAACTGATTCAAAAAGCACAGGAACAGTACGATGTTTGACCCTCTTGTTGACTAGTTTCATTTCTAGAATGTACCCTAATGGCACCTGAGGTAGTCCATGGGGGCTACCAGGTGACCCCAGGCACCACGTTGGTGACCCCTGCTGTAAAGTATGGCCATACGTATAATTGTTGGATTCTGGTGTTTATTAAGACACGAGATAGATGCAGTAGCAGAGCAGCCAATCAGGACTAAGGCCTCGGTTTAAAAGGGGCATAAACCTTTTTATCATCCAAAAAGGATATTTTATTACATTTATGTGTTTTTTCCTCAATGTTTTTATGCCCATGTTGTCTATTTGATTTGATCTGAGCCAATGGCCTGTGTTGAAAAATTCAAAATAAAAGTTGGGTTGATGATTGGGTCACATATAGCCAGGTCCCATGCATTTGTATATTGACCTATTCCCACTATTTAAACAAAGCAAAAATAATTGTGTTTCCATATGGACAGCCTTTGTATTCCATTATCATAACTCAAAAACTTCTCTTATTTTGAACTGCAGACCTCCAGTGCTGCGCTCCCGTGCCGTTAGCCCCAGTCCTGAATCAGAGCAGGAAACAACAGAGACGACAAAAAGCAGCGAGGGAGTTCCCGAAGTCAAGCCTCGCATCCACAGATTTATCCCCGATATCCAGGAGATCAGAGTGAGGTGAGCCTGGAAAGGGTGACATCTGCTGGAGTGGTGAAGAAAGTGTTTTCACGTCGCGTGTTCTTCCTCTCCGTCTTTTCAGTCCCATCGTGTCAAAGAAGGGTTACATACATTTCTTGGAGCCACAAACCAACGGGTGGGTGAAGCGCTACGTCATGGTGCGACGGCCATACGTCTACATCTACAACACAGAAAGAGACGCCGTGGAGCGAGCCATTCTCAATCTGTCCTCCGCTCAGGTGGAGTACAGTGAGGACCAACAGGCAATGCTCAAGGTATGTGATTAAAACATGCTGCCTTTATAGGAAAGCTTCTTACTAGCTTGTGTCCGATATTAGCTTTATTCCGATATCCAAATGCCCATATTGTCCAAAAACTTAATTTCCGATTTCAGTATCAACCGATACTGATACATGCAGCCGTTTTTCCCCAAAACAATTTTTAGGTCACATCACATATCGTCTTTCGTGGAATTAGCACATTACCTACTTTTATTGCGATGCCCCACTAAAGGCATTCAACAAATTAGCATTGTCTGTGCAAGTGTTTCTAGCATATCTGCAAAACCCAGGCATTGCATTATCGGGTTTTCATTATCAGAGGAAAAACCGATATCGATTGTTAGCGATGTTACATATTTATGCTAATAGCCGATAATATCGGACGACCGATATTATCGGACATCCCTACTACTAACGTTTTTTCTTTTTCGGAAGGTGTGGGTTATTGCTTTACTACTAACGTTTTTTCTTTTTCGGAAAGTGTGGGTAATTGGCGGTGCGTCAACCTGGCTGCGATATAGAGGGGTGGTTGCACGGCCAAAAAATTTTGGGAACCGCTGATCTTAACGTAACGTACCACTGATGTGAGAGGACCCTCATGTTTATTTTTAATTTTTAAACAGACTCCACACACCTTCGCTGTGTGCACACAACACAGAGGGATTTTACTTCAAGCCACCAGTGACAAAGAGATGCATGACTGGCTGTACGCCTTTAACCCCCTCCTCGCTGGAACTATCAGGTAAGAATCAGACAACTGAAGATATACTGTTGAAAACTAGGTTATACTTATACTTGATGTTTTATCTCTTATCTACAACGCAGGTCAAAGCTGTCAAGAAGACGAGCCGGACAGATGAGGATGTAAAACACAGACAGAAGGTTTCAGGAGAACGATCATAAAGACTTCAATGTACATAGATCCAAATTGCACCCCCCCGGCCCCCATTCTTGTGCTGAGCCCAGCTACCACTGTCGCAACCAATGCTTCTTCCCTGTGTGTTCTTATTTCATCACCTGGCCTTGCCGGCCTAAGCGCTCACGTAGTGTCGGTTTTTTGTTGTTTTTTTGCCACAGTGTGAGTCTTGTATTCCGGAGAACTCCTTGGGAAAGCTGTCACCGTTCTGTCTGATCAACCGACGAATACAGAGGAAGTAGCAACAGTTTCTTATCTCAGATTACATATGTATGGTAATGTACTGTAGTTATTGTCAGTGACACCACGCCTTATATAACACACCTTGAAATGTAGTGACACGTTCCTTATTTAGAGCTGCCATGGCAACGGGGGGATCACGTCGCGACGGTAACTAGTCAAAGTAGCAGATTCTTCTGAACGCTGTCGTAATGTAAACACTGTCAGAACAGGTTCGAGGACGACGTACGAGGAGATAATGCACAAAAACAAAAAAAAAAGAAAAGAAAAGAAAGGAAAATCTTTGACTGTTAAGCGCAACTCTATAGAATATTTCTTCTTTCTGCTCCGTGAATCCTCCTGAATTTGAGTCTTTCACTTCGAGCTACTTAGAAGCTTCGGCGCATCACGTTGAATTACACACAGCTTGACAAGAGAACGGCAACTCAACGGACGGTTTATGTTCACGTGGCCCGAGTGGCCGTCACGTTTTCATTTTCATTTTCGAACTAACCGCGATCACACTAATCCTGTAACATTTCATTTCGTCTTTAAATGTGATATATATATTTAGATATTTACCAGCTAAATTATTTATTTCTGCGTGTATTTATTTATTTATAAAGACGTTTATATTTCTTAACGGTGCAATCTATGCACGCTGCACTTTTAATATCAGTTCCGCGAAGGTTTCAGTAATAAAGTCTCACACCCCTCACGTCAACACTGCTGAAGTATTTTGAAAAAATACCCGATGGTTGGCTTGTTTCTTCGTCTAATTGGCTGATAGATTGCATCCGCCCTTAATTAGCTAATATTATTGAGAAGTTTAAAATAGAAAATACTCACGCACATGCTGCAATGTTGGATGGTTAAAAAGGTTGAGCTGTAGTGCCTCTCCATGCCTCTGCACCAGTTACTCACAGCCTACTTCCTGACATAGTACTACTCTCAAAATCCCTACATCACTCCTACATTCATAAATCACAAAATATTCCTACTCAATCCAAAGGACTCATTTACTCTCCTAATGTCATATTACAACAGATGTTTCCTTAACACACAGTATACCAGATAATTTCGTCTTTGGAGAAGAAATGATCTGGGGCAGGTCAACACCTGCTTTTTTGCTTAATCTAGGGATCGAAATTGTGAAAATCAAATTATAGCTTGTTATATGTATGTCAAAAACTGTTGAAAACTTTGCTAATTTTAACAGTTTTTTTGTCAAGTTAAAGTTAAAGAATATCTCATGTCAGGCTGTGAAATCACAACATCTGTCTTATAACTTTCAGCCTCCTTGCTACAGCTCTCCAGTTTGTCTATGACATATTTGTTTGTCATGTTGTCATGGATACTTGTGACAGAGAAAGGGTTTTTTTTTTTTTTTCTCTTTTTCATTTTATAATTGATGAAAAAATGGGAACTGACAGGAGATCGTGCCTCAGGTCAGCCAGCCTGGAGAGCATGTCCTCTGACAGAAATGTCATGTCACGTTTGTATGACAACAACACAAGTGATCTGTTTAAAAAACTGTTTATAGTCAACTGTTTATTCAACTCAACCCTTAAATGTAATCACTTCTTTCATTCCGAGTTTTTTTGTGTGTTAAGGACATGAAAATGAAAAAAAAAAAAAAACTCAACTACAAACATGCACCACTGGCAGTAGGTTGGTAATGAAGAATGAATGTCTGTCTGTATGCTCTGCTTGTATTGTGATCAATGGGGCGACTGTGCTCCCTCACTGGCGTCTTTGGCTGCAGATACTACACCTGTTTATCCATCTCTAATTTCATCGCTGAGAGAAAATACCTGGTGCACACTCTACGCTGTCGTTTCCGTCTCATTTCCTCCTTAAATGTAAGCTCCACTTGTTCCTCCTTTTTGTTTTCACCGTGTGTCACATGTGAGCCAACCAAAGGTTCGTTGGTGCAATTACAAAAAGAATACAATGCTGAATGTAAATCGATATAAAAAAAGCCCTTATTTTGCTGAAGTGATTGTTTCAATTTGTGATAGTGTGATTTTTTTTTTTTTTTTTTTTTTATCGGTTATAGGTGGATTAAAATCAGGGAGCCCTATAGAGCATACCTGTCATATTCTGCCTGCTGCTCTATGGATGTATTCACTTCAGTATGGCCCTGCCACATCATATACAGATTACAGCTGCTTATTTTACTGTCCCACTCTCACTTTTATCTCAGCATCGACCTTTACAATCCCGTCACACTCTCACTTTTATCTCAGCATCGACCTTTACCATCCTGCTCTGACAATTTTCAGGAACTCTACCCTTTTTCTAGTCCTTCTCTCCTTTTAAGGAATGTCATTTGGATTTTTGTGCTTCCACATCTTATCTCATTTTTCACACTATTGATTTTTTTTTTTTTTTTTTTTTTGCATTGTACATAAACACGATTGCTGTGAACACTGTATTATAATGTTGCATCCATTTACAAGAATCCCAGACGGGCAGTAGTGAAGTCAGTGTTGCTCAGTGTTGGAGTTTTGCGTCAAATGTTTGTGTACACTAAAAACATTGTCATGTATGAAATAAACATGAAAATTATGCAACACAAGGAGTCGGACTCTCCTTTTTTTCCACATTCGTAGCCTATAGTGTATTTTGTACTGTACTTTATTTCAAAGGTACAGTTTGTCCCCACAAAAAATATTATTTTTAATGGATTAAATAAATAAAAGTAATTAGATGTAACAATTAGAATATTCAGTGGAGATTGAGATGCTAACTCATAATAATGAAATATTATCTCTTTATTTTGACTTGAGAATCTAAGATTTGATTTTATTTACCCAAGTGGCGGATATGGGCTTCCATATAATACGACTTAATTTTTGTACTACTTTTAAAGATATTTTAAAATACTTATTCTGGGTTTAACACTGTGTAAACTGTCGAACATCTTTGCAGTAAATCATTTTTTGTATTTATTTTCTGAATAAATACACGTACACGCAGACACGTGTGAAAATAGAACTGTCTCTTTAAATGGCGGTCTCCTTGAAGACAGCGGAAAGCCTGTTCCGTAGCACGGTCAGTAGCACTTGACAGGCTGAGGAGCTAATAAAAGTCAGCTCGTAAATTCATTCAGGACAACTTTACATCGTTTGACAAGGTCAGGCAGTAAACCAAGGAGCTTATTCTGCCGCGTTAAATCAAGACAAACAACTGCTACTTATCTTTAGGCCATGCAGTTCGACGAGCACCACAGATATAAAAGATTGTTAGCAGCGTGGCAGTCGTGGCTAACTGATACTAAACACCATTTGTATTTAATTTAGTGACAGTACAATTAGTCAGCGTCAGCCGCGAAATGTAGTTGTATTTAAAGTTGTGTATTTAAAAAATGACAGTTTCTTTAACTCTGCTCCTCCGTCTATTTTCAACAGACTTCTGTTTATTGTCGGACTGAATGTGTTAAAAAGACGAACGTGAAACACATAAGAGCCTCACAAACAATAAATAAAGCAGTTTTTACAGTGTTGTGTAACGAAAAAATGCACAGAAAATACAGCAAACGGTCACATATACTTCTTATTTCTTCTTAGGACAATGGCGGAACAAATAAAGGGGAGTTTCCAGGTGGATGTAGACAGGTGGGTTCCATGAATTATTGGTCAGAATGTGTTGTTGACCTTTGCCCCCTGAATTAATAATGTGTCATAATAAGTCTCAAGCAAGTAAATGAAAGGGCAGAGAAAAAAAAAGTAAAAGTTTCTAAAGAACAAAAAAAAAAAAAAAACGGGACATTTCATATTCCATTATTTTTTTTCCAAGGATGGCAGGAAAAAATATTATTTATTATTTATTGTTTTATTCTTTAAGCATTGATTTTAATGGTATTACTAACCATTGAAGGGGAAAGAAACACTGTTTAGTAACAGTATTGACAAACACCTTAGATTACAGTATTGGACATGGGTTTTAAAAATGTATTTGTAACTGTTATTACTGTATGTAAAAGCTCTCAGTGTTGTTTTCCCTAAAGGTCATTTTCAAAGACAGGATCCACTTCAACAGCCATTACCCTGGTTCTGCCGTCCTTCCCAACACATGTAACGTGTCTGTCCTAGGCCCAACTCTCCCAGGTAATGTCTCCACCGCTCTATCTCTGACCTGTGGTTGTTGTGTTCTGCTCTCGTCCTCGTTCTCCCTCCCCCTTAACCCTTACACCCCTTTGCAACCATCAGGTCACGACCTCCGGGAGCTATTTGTGAACCTGCAAAGGTCTTAAATCATTAATCCCTCTCTCCCACTTCAGGCTGGAGGGTATTGTCCCAGTGTAGGAGGCTGCTGGCCAGTGTTGGCGCTGCCTGCCACTCAGACAGTGGAAACAGGTAAACGGAGTCTCTCATTCACCTTACCTTCTAACTTTACACCACCACATGCTCGGAGTTATGTAACTCTCCCCCCGCGCTGCAGACCTTCCCCTATTCTCCTGAACTGCGGCGTCCCTAAAGAGGTGGCGGCCAACGCTCTGAGGCTGAGCGTAGGCAGAGGGACAACCAGGAAGGACGTGGACGATGTCTTAGAGGATCTAAAAGAAACGGTTCTGCTGCTGGAGAAAAATCAACTGAAGGACTTAAAATAAACCGAAGCGGTGTATAAGTATGACTTATTTGAATTAAACTAGGGATGACCCGATAAAACTTTTCAGGTTCAATACAGATACTGCAACTTGAAGTATCTGCCGATACTGCCGATATATCGGTCTTTACATTGTTTTCACCCCCAGCATGCTCTGAGGCGATGGTGTCCCTTGTAACAGTATGTCGCACAAAGTTGAACATTTGGCAATCGCATCAAAATTTTGAATTTTGACTATCGGATTGAGTCATCCCCAATTCAAACACGTCCATTATCGTCCTGCATTTCTTAGTGCTTTGTTAATCAGCCTTTCCGCAGATGAATTTGAAAAACAAGCCTTGCTGTTATTCACTATACTTGGCTCTGACTTCTCCCATTACTTAAGTTTCCATGCTGCCTCTGCTCCCTCATCTCCAGTGAAGCATGGCTGCATGTGCCAGCTTATGGCCACTGCCACACAAAGGGAGAGCAGGGGGCCACGAGCGCTACGCCTCCACCCGTCTTTCATTACCTTTCTATCTCGCTGCCTCCGACTCCCTCCTGTCTCCCCACGCAGCCATGCTGTCCAGCTGGCTCCTGATAGGGTGTCACTTTCCTGGCTCGGGAGGAGGCATTGAGTGCATGACTTTTTAGTTATTGTATTGGGGGGTTTGTGCATGTGGTGCGTGATGACCCACTGACCCGCTCCAGAGAGCTTGTTGTGTGCCATAAACCACTCGTAGCATCCGGACATGGTGCTGCATCGGGCCATCCAGGCAGCACGAGCGGGGGATTTAGGAACCCTGAGGCTGCTGGCGTCCTCGGGTCACCTTTCACCTGTTATTACTGATGCTCAAGGTGCCAGTCCCGTACACCACGCGGCCAGGTGTGGACGTCTCGAGTGCCTACAGTTCCTGGTGAGCGAGCAGGGACTGGCAGCCAATTTCCGGGCCTTGAACAGAGCCACACCAGTGCATGACGCAGCAGCCACGGGCAACATCCGAGAGCTGCGATGGCTCGTCGACCAAGGAGGCTGCAACATCCAGGTAAGTTTATCCACCGAGCAGTAAGATAAGGTAAGAGAGAGACCTATCTGATTATTCTAGCTCTTTGTGAAGAGATGTCGTGTGTCGGGTTTGCTTTACTCTCTTATCTCAGTGTGAATGATGAAGTTCAGTCATTGAACTGATCCTAGAGTGTAGTGACATGATGATTTACAGAGGTACACTACAGCCAGCCAATTACATCACCAATGTTGTGTTGCTGCCAGTAAATCTGCAGTATACAGTGGCAAATGTAAGAAGATGGTTAAGAAAAGCTTGAACTAAGCTACTAGATAAATTATTATTACAGTGGCAAATGTAAGAAGATGGTTAGGAAAAGCTTAAACTAATCTACTAGATATATAGAGTTATTTTACCTTCTCTGTTTATTGGAAAATAGTATAAAAAAATTAAGGCTAATTAGGCTATCAAAGAAGTAAACTACATTTAAATTTGAATCTTCACCATAATACATAGAAAATAGAAAATACAGAGGTCATCAACTAGCACCGATTGTCACCTTAAGTCAAAAATTGCCAACTGTACATAAGTACCTATGTCACTCACCTACCCTAACACAGTGATAACATCATAATCTAGGATACATGTATCAAACTCAGGCCCGGGGGCCAAATCTGGCCCACAATGTAATTATATTTGGCCCGCGAGATCATATCAGATGTGTACTAGAGTTGACCCGCCAGTATATAACCCCTGTATACTGGCAGTATTTGTAGTATTAGTGGTGTATGCGCTATGATATATTACATACATTTTTTTGCATATTTGTAGTATTAGTGGTGTATGCGCTGTGTTATAGCACAGACATTTTGTTTGTTTTTTTGTTGTTGGTCTGTGATATAAAAGATTTACATTAAAAAGGAACTGGAAAGGCTACAGAAAAAAAGACAAAATAAGAAACAAATACGACTGAATGAATCAACATTACATATGTATCTGGAGAGAATCATCAAACATGCACAATTGCCATAGATTTTTACAATAAATATCAAGTTCTGCCCACGACTTCGTCCCAATTTTTAATTTTGGCCCACTGTGAATTTGAATTTGACACCCCTGATCTAGGATATAAAAACGAAACAAGAATTTGTCTTATGCCTGGGATCCAAAATGTAGCACAATTCAATGTATGGCGTACGACAACAAATGTAAACAAAAATGACTTCCACCTATATTGCAGTGTGACGACGTATTACGTCGCAACACTCACCAACTTACCCATATGAACATATTGGCAACTTTGAACGCTAGACGTCGGTTAAGTCAAACTGCAACGGTCAACTACTGTAGTATACTTAATGTTTAAAGAACCCGCCCAGTATACTAGAGGGAGAATGATGTGTGGGAAGTCGAGGTGAAGTATGAAGTCTGAAATCACCGAACAACATATAGTTTGTGTGTCTCTAAATGACTAAACTAAAGTGAAGTCACATCTTTGTTCAACTCACTCCAGGACCAGGATGCAGCGGGCGTCACGGCTCTTCACCTGGCTGCCCGCTTTGGTTGCGTGGAGGTAGTTCAGTGGCTTCTCTCGGCTGGAGGCCTGGCAGAGGTGGAGACGAACTGTGGAGCAGTTCCTGCTCACTATGCTGCAGCCAAA